TAGAACCTAAAGGAGCCAAGAAGACGACGAGCTGACTTGAGGGGAGGCTGGTTAGTTCCATAGACCCAACCAGGAGACGGGACAAGCCCACCTAATGCGTCATCATTACACTTTCATCAATCAGAGATCAGTTTGAACCAGCTGTGCTTTCAGTCTCGTCTCAGCTCGTGTTTTAGTTTTATTGCTGTAAGTCACGTGACCTGCACAGGACTGCAGACAGAAATAACCTAAAACCTGACAGGTGCATATTTTTATATTAGCATCCATCAACATCAATGTAACATAATATAATAGATATAATATGTAATAGAATATAATATAATTTAAGCTGTCTGCGCCCAGAGTCTCACTCATCTGATCTTCCAGACGATCAGATCAAACATTCTTGTTTAAAGTATTGCCCAGGTGTGTGTGATGTCACTGTGATGTCACCCTGTGTTGGCTCTCCACGCTGTCCTCTCCATCTCTGGTGTCTCTCTCTCCGTCGCCTTCTTGCTCGCCCGCTCTCTCTCCTAGTAAAACTAGCTCATTGATCCACAGGTTGGTGCTGGTGGTGCTGTTGGTGTCACTGGGAGGCTGGAGGAGCTCCTCACTCTGACACACACAGACACACATTTAACATCTAATCTCATTGAAATAAGCTTTATTTACATCAAAGTGACGGCTCACCTCCTGAGAGGAGTCCACCTGCTCCACAGCCTGCAGGATATGACATCACACACACGTCATGACATCACACATTGTAGCACAGTAAGAGTGACGATATTTGTTTACGGAGCTGAGTGTGTGTGTGTTACCGTGTTCTCCAGGTTCTGCCGTTCTCGCACCATTTGTGGACCCTGTAAACATCGACCAAACGGACTGATTCAGTCACTCTGTCCTTAATAACCACAGCTGATTGGTCACATGGCACAGTGACGCTCATTTTAACGCTGCAGTTTCTCTTTCTTTTAATCTACAAGGTAAAAAACTACAAATAAAAAAACTCAGCACGTGTCAGGACGTAATGACTGCAGATGGAGGACATATTATAAAATTATTTCTGATGGCTATTATAAAACTCCGTTCAGTTTTTACCAAATTAAAGATTTTACCAGACTCTAACCTCAAAGCTGCAAATAGACTCAGAGTATACAGTGAGATTGTGTTGTAATTCAGGTCACCTCTGACCTCTGAACTCTGGCTTGACTCCGAGGAAACTGATGAAGAGGAGGAGGAGGAGGAGGAGGAAGTGATCTTCTGAGCGGGGTCAGGGGGGGCCGAAGGCTGCAGACACACAGTGATGTTAGAAACTGAAGACTTAAGATGAAGATGCTTTAATGTAAGGAAGGCAGTAGGGTTTCATCTGGATACACATGTTACAGCGTGTGTGGGAAACACAAGGCTCAGGCTGATGAAATATCTGCATCAATATCTGCCTGAAGAAAACACCTCAAAATACAAGTTTACTACAACTCTGATGGAGTCTGCTGCTCTAGCTGTAGCCACATAGAACTGAGAGTACTCTGTGTACTTGTACTGCACTGACTCACTGCTGTTTGGTCCACTTGGCTCTGCAGGAGGAGCTGAAGGCTGTGGAGTTCTCCTGGAAGCTGCAGACAAAAACAAACACGTCTCAGAGTCACAGATGAGCCTCATGTCTCATGAACTGACCAGTATGATCCAGCCTTACTGGCACAGCCTGGTTCTGATCCAGCAGGCTGATGATCATCAGAAGCAGCCACATCGTAACAAGCTCTCGGGGCGGTCCTGGAGGTCCGGGGTAATCCTGGTCCTGTGGGGGGTCCTGCAGGTTCTGACCGAGTCTTGCTCTGCTCCGTCTGTTTTATTGCGTGTTTGGCAGGAAGTGTCATGTCATCATGTCGCCCTCAGTCCCTGCCCCCCTCCCACGGATGTTACGCCCATCAAGAGAAACATCAACAACAACAACAGGCTGATTTATACTGGCAGGGAGTGTCTCTGTGTGTGAGAGCAAGTGTTCACTGCAGTAAGGGTGTGATGTGAAAGCAGTCATACAGATGTTTTATTGTTTCTTCTGATGGAAGCAGCTATTTAACATGGCGAAGCTCAAAGTGCTTCCATCCTGCTTTAATGGGGAGAAATCAAACCTCAGGACACATTTGGATGTTTGTGGTTCCTCAGGTGTGTCCAGGCCCTTCATTAGTCCAGAGCTCCGCCCTCTGATCCAGGACTTTGGGTTTATTTTGTATAGTTTAACTTTTATTTAACTGATGATGTCAGAGGAAGCGAAATAAGATAAAGAAAAAGTATCAGGATTAAAAGTACTTCCAGATGAGGTGTGTGTCAGATTCATGGAGCTGCGGTGAACCAACACAACAACACATCCAGCTGGCAGTAAACACATTTCACAACCAGCAGGACTTCCTGCCACACAACCACACGACACCAGAAAGAGAGGAAGCCAAGTGTTACAGAAGAGGCTCAACAATAAACCAGATTAGACACAACCATCAGTTTCATAATAAATTCTGCTTTAATATTCATCGTCCTATCACAGTTCACCTTTTTTGTAATCATCTCAGGTCTGACTTCTTAGTAGGGATGATGGGAATTTTCAGATCCTGCAGTTCAAATAATTTATTTAAATTAATGAAGGTGCGGCTGTTTTTAATGTTTTTAGAATTGTTTTAAATTGTTTTAAAATCCCATTGAAAGTAGAAAACTTTGTGAGTCCAGTCCTTCCCGTTTCAGGGTATCTGGTCATGTGACTTGTGAGTTTGGCCTGCTGGAATAAACTTTATCCACCAACATGTGGTCTTTATTATGAAAAGCATGAGTTTACACACCAAAGAACCCAAACCTTTCTAATAGAAACTGGCTTGCTTTTATACTCTGATTCAGGTGAGCCTCTTGTATGACCCATATCTGGGAAACCAAGCAAACCAAATGCTACACTGATCATCCACGTAAGCAACCATCAAAGCACAACACAACACATGGAAGACTTATTTATATATGCACAAAGTCCCACAAATAATTCAATTACACATACACTTCAGTCAGTTATATATAAATTAGAAACACCTTAACCAAACTCCCCTAAGCTGGCACACTGGTTTATTCTAAGAGCTCATAAGCAGCTGATTGAGCTGCTCTTACTCGTTTGCTCCTGTAAAAGAAGTGACCAGGAAAAGATGAGTACAGCAAACACACTTCTCTTAAATGCATGTTTGAGAAATTTAGGTTTACAAGACAAATGATGAACTGCAATCAGCTGCCACTCAGGTTCTTCTTCCTGACACAGGATGGATGTCGGGTCCCTCCAGATGTTTCTTCACCTTCCATAAAAATGTCAAATTCGATAAACCTACTACAGAATCACCAAACCATAAACGTTTCTTTTTCATGTAACCTTTTAAGTCCCTCAAACGTATAAAAATACATTCATTTATTTATTATTTATTTACAATTAAAATGCAGGCAAGTGTAGTGGAACACCTGGGTCTCCATTACATGGCTCTATGAAAATGGACTCTCAGGATGGATGCTGGATGGAAAGGATGGAAGTTTTTGGGTGTCAGATTTGGAGGATTGGAGAAAACAAAGTACATGGTGTACTCTCATTCCTGCTGGGATCTGAGACATCTGTGTGGTTTTTGGCATCACTGCTTCTGAACCACCCTCAGAATAAAAGCAGGAACTGGAGCGAGGTGGCGGCCAGCGTCCCATCACTGCCCGTTACAGATTTGACAGCGCAGAGGCGAAGGCTCAAACACCCGGACATTGAAAGTTCCCTCTGCGGTCAGATTTCACCATCAGCTTTCTGAAAACATCTGTGTGTGTGTGTGTGTGTGTGTGTGTGTGTGTGTGTGTGTGTGTGTGTGTGTGTGTGTTTCTGATCTATTTCTAAGTCAGTGCGTTGGATGCAAAGCAGTGTTTATCTGCCTGCCACAAACCACATACACATAAACTCACACACTGAAGTGTCTGTCAGCGGCTCGCATCATACAGCATCACAGCAGACATTTCATCATCCTGTTCTTCTTCTTCTGTGAAGGAAACCGAAGTCATTTTGATGAAAAAGTTGGCCTCCTCACCTTCCCTATAAACCTTGAGTGGACAAACAATAGAAATTAAACTCTTTAACTAATAAATACATTTTTTAAAGACAGAGACTCTACAGTACGCAGTGGCAGCATCTCTTCCACAGTGTAGCCTGCAATCATTTTTTAAGCTCACCTTCAGACGCTTTCTGTGCTGCTGAAGTAAAATCAAGCTTCGTCTGCTTAGCAGGAGTTGCTGCGGTGATGGATGATGAACAAGGATCGCTCAGAAGTGTTCGTCTATGCTCTCGTGTCAGGCGCTTCAGTAGATTACTCGTGCTATTAACAGCGGCCGATAGCTTTTACATATTGCTGTAATGTTCTTGTCTGCTTGTTTCAGAAAAGTGAGGAGACGGGAATATGTCCACTTCATAAAACAGCCACTCGCTTCAGCCGAGTCCGACATCTTCCGCTGTAGAATACGACTGTGCAGCAAACTGGCGCGAAATGACGCGCAGCTGCACTACAATGATGTTAAAGCGGCAGAGTTTACTTCTTATTTTACAATGTAACGTAAGTACATTGTAAGTAACTGTAATTAAAATACCGAAAAATGAACAGTAATTAGTTACTCTACTTTTTCAGTGGAAAAGTAATTTAATTAGAGTAATGCGTTACTTAGTAACGCATTACACCAAACACTGCCTGCAACTATCACAATGACACCATAGAGTTTTGGAAAATACCACATTGAGTTTAACTTTAGCAGCACTTTAACTCGTTATACTTTTTAATACAGCATTACTGACTCACAGTGACACAAAAGATTCATTTATAAACACTAGACTGATGCAATACAGACTGCAGCTCAGACAGCTGCTGGAGACAGATGTGTGTGTGTGTGTGTGTGTGTGTGTGTGTGTGTGTGTGTGTGTGTGTGTGTGTGTGTGTGTGTGAGTACTGTAACTCCTTTATTCCACACAGACAGCTTCAGCATTTGTTCTGCTTTCTCTGCTTTTATTTGAATGTGACAGAAAAACACGACTAGAATTTACACAAACGTGTTTACAGGCTGACTTTAATGTGTTTCTGCACATGCTTGTCCTCTGGTCATGTGATCATGTGGTTTGTAGGACGCTCCTCTTCCTCAGAGGATCCACCTGTGCTTCCTCTCCTCTCTCCTCCACCTGTTACAGTGAGGGAACGTCCTCCATGATGGAGGAGCTGCTGGAAAGTGCTGAGAGTTTCCTCCAGAGTGAGACCTCTGTCACAGTTCAGAGGATCTACGGCAGCAGAGACCTTCATGGACACTAAAAGTCTCAAACACACAACAACAACATCACACTGACTCCACTCTGACATCACTGATCAATAATCAAAGAACACACAGATCAAACTGATTGATCAGCCATCAGAGGAGTCGGATCAATGGAGCTGCTTCTGTTCCTGATGTCCCCTGTTTGATCCTGGACCTGAACTCTCCCTGCAGGGGAGACACAAGACAGTCAGAGAGACACACACACACACACACACACACACACACACACACACCACACACACGCACACAACACACACGAGTGACGGGTTTTCAAGGTGATAATTGCTCCACTAACAGTGAGACATGGATTCTTTTTTATTCATTGTTGTTGGATTTTTATTGTGCTGGCTTGTTTCCCCTGATGAGTGTGAGGCTGTGAGTCAGCTGAAGATTGTTTACTCCCGTGAGGAGCTGCTACAACGTAACGTCTCGTATGGTGGTAAAGACCTTACTTCATGTATGCCGGATTTATACGGAGAGATTTTAACAGAACAAGTGACAAAAGGAAAAGAAAAAGAGGGAGACTCAGAGGTGTCAAATTGCGTCTGAGGAGACAACAGGTTGGACTCCCCTGGCCTCTGTAGCTTCTTTCCTCTAGACGAAGGTTTCTAGTTCCAAAGAAAACAGTTTTGTCTCTGCTGCCGTCACTAAACACAATAAGAACTGTTTTATTTGATTCATCTTGATCTCATTTATATTGTTTTTTATTGCTTGTGTAATAAGCAAATGTGTTTGTGAGGGTTTAATGGGTGGGTGTGTGTTTTGTGAGGGGATGCCAAATGTTATAATTATTTTCATAAAGCCAATTTATCTATGGGTATAAATAAAGTAAACCTGAACCCTTAGGTCATGGTAAATTTAGGCTAACTGTAACCCTGACAGTAAAACCACATTTGACTTAAAACTTGTTGGGCCAGACATTTTGTCCCCACAAGTATAGTGCCAATGTTCTGTCCTCACAAAGATGTGTAAACATGTACACACAAACCTTTGACTTTGAGCTGCACTCTCTTCCTTCTAACCACAGCTCGATTCCTCACAACGTAGCATGCATATCCTCCACTGTCTCTCTCTGTGGGCTGTTTCAGGGTCAGACTGAGGTCTCCAGTTTTCAGCAGGTCTTCATTCATCTTCGTTCGGTCTCTGTAAACCTGGTGCTGTTCTTCAGGCTGGTCAGAGCCGTTCTCATACACATGGACCAACATTACTGGTTCAGGCTCTTTGCATTCCCAAACCACTCTAACATCTCCAGGCAGGTTTTGTGTGGTTTTGAAGGGCAGCTGGACAGACTCGGCCCCCTCCTCCACCTCCACCTGACACACTGAGAGGACAACAAACCCAACATGAGCTGTACAAAGTGTGATTGGTGTTCAGAGCAGCATCATGTGACTCTTGTTCTGCACTAAATGAAGCGATGGAGTGGCGCCTCCTTCAGGCAGAGAAACAGCTCATGGAGAGAAATAATTATTAGAGCAAAAACAAGAGTGGAGCTGCAAATAAGGCCGAGAGGAACGCTGCAGAACACTGTTCATGTGTGAATTCATCACTTCATAGATTTCTTTGAGCACTAAAATCAGAGCTGCTTCTATTTCTAATATGACAGCTGTACATTAGAGCTGCAACACTTTAAATGTGAGCCATAAAAACATGATACTCTACAAGTGCATTCAGCTCTGAAGGAGACGTGGAAATCACTTTGTTACACAAATCAAAGTCAAATCTATCTATCTATCTATCTATCTATCTATCTATCTATCTATCTATCTATCTATCTATCTATCTATCTATCTATCTATCTATCTATCTATCTATCTATCTATCTATCTATCTATATATATAGATAGACCCCCTCTTATTTTTGGAAAAGGGGTCTTGGTAGTTCTTTTTTTTTTTCTTTATCTTTAAGTCTGCATGTATCCACAAATACAAGTGGGCTGAATCCTTCTCAACAGCAACTGAAATCACCTTGGTGATGGTGATTAGTAGGGATGGGTACCGGTATCCGGTGCCATGATGGCGCCGGTTCTGACATGAACGGTAGTAACCAGACTGAAAAGCAGCGCACATTTCGGTGCTTTATTTCGGTGCTTTTTTTTCCTGAGCTGTGATACACTTCTAGCCAATCATTTTACGTTTCCGAGGATAGTAGGCGGGTCCAGGTACGTACGTTCTTTTAGTGCAGAGCTACAGATTAAAAATGACCAAGGCGAAGCGGTCAAAGTCTGGCTGTACTTCACAGCAAAAGATGCAAACTCAGCAGCCTGCAACAAGTGCTTTAAGCTGATACTGTGATACTGTCAAAGGAGGTAACACCTCAAATCCGATGAAACACCTGGCGATGCATAGCGTTTTTTTAAAAGCCGAGAAATGCGCCGTATTTGATAGCTTGCTGCGAGACCTCACACCGAGCACATCTGCTGCGGGTGGGTTGCCTGTTATCGGACCCAGATTTAGCAACATCCCCCAAAAACCCGAAGAGGAGAGTCCTGGCCCCTAGCCCTGCCAGTGTAGCAGAAATGATGAGGATGATGAAGCAGCAGCAGCCGTTCTTCTCTGCGTGAGTAGCTTAATGTTGTTCGTGTGTAATTTACGTTGAGTAGGCTAACCACGTTATTACATTAATGCATGTAAGGTGAACTAGCAAACATCATCATAGCTACATGCGGCTGTCTTCTTGTTGATGGCAGATGCTCCCTTCACCCTGGACAAAAAGGCTAAATGACCAAAGAAAAAGAGGGAAACAGCTAAACATGAGAGGTTTTTGGACAAAGTTTGTGTTTTTTGCATTGTTTAAGCACTGCTTCCAGCCAAGAGTGATACCATATATGCCCATAGCTGCAGAAAAGGCTGACATTGTTATCTTTTTACAAAAAAACAGCTGAACATGAGAGGTTTTTGGACCAATTTTGTGTTCTCCATTCTTTAAGCACCGGTTTGAGCACCGTTTGAGCACCGGCACCGTTTCAAAGTACCGGTTTGGCACCGGTATAGGATAAAACCTAAACGATACCCATCCCTAGTGATTAGGAACAGAGGACTCTGACTGATGAGTCAGAGTCCAGAAAGTCTGTCTTCAGTGGCAGCCAGGAAAACAAAACAAACAAAGGACCAAACCTTTGACTTCGAGCAGGAGTGATTTCACTCTGAGGATGTTTCCACTCCTCCAAACTTCACATATGAAATCTTCTCTGTCCCAGTTTGTGGGGTATTTCAGGATGAGACTGAGGTCTCCAGTTTTCAGCAGGTCTTTGTTCATCTTCGTTCGGTCTCTGTAACGCTGGTGCTGTTCTTCAGGCTGGTCAGAGCCGTTCTTATACACATGGACCGTTCTGGATCTCCCATCCTTCCACTCCACTTTAGTGTCTTCAGGCAGGTTTTCTGTGGTTTTGAAGGGCAGCTGGACGAACTCCACCCCTGAATCCACCTCCACCTGACAGACTGAGAGGACAACATACACAACATTAGAAGTGATTATTAGATGAGAGATGATCCACTGTTACTCACTTTTATGAATACAGATGTGGAATAAAGCAGTTATTAACACAGAGCTGAGCTGCTCAAGAACATTCGTTCAGACAAAGAGAGAGGAGACATCTTACAGACATCACATGTACAAGGATCTACAGGAAGCTCTTTTCTTTCTTTGGACGCTAAACAGAATAAACTTCTTAGTGACTCTGCAGATCATGAAATTAAGCTCATGTGTGAGTTCAACAAGGAACATCTGTATTCACTCAACAGCCATTAAGCATTAGCTGTTTAAGAGAGGCAGGTGGGTCATTACTCCACCTAAACCTGAATCTCTGTCTCCATGATCATATCCGCACTTTGGAAATCTGCCCTTAAAGTGTTCATTACTTCACAACGTCACCGCCTGCATTAAGTAACATGCAAGAAAACAGTCCACCTTAAAAGTTGCTGCTAGCTGCTGCTTTCACATGTTAATGAGTGAAAATAACAGGCAGCAGATCAAAGGTCATCACAATGAGGAAGGCCTTTACTTGATTCACATGAACTGTGTTTTCTCTCCTTTAACCTTTGACTTCACCTGCTGAAGAGAACTTTTCTTCTTCTTCTGTTCGATAGAAGAATCAAACAGTGGTGTCAAAATAATCCATCAGTCTGTTTTGGCCCTGATCTCTTAAATTTACCTGTGTGCATTTTAAATTAAAAGCACTCTAACATGTCAGTGGACACAAACACTTCATTTCTGAGGGTCCGTGTGGGTCACAGTGACGTAAACATCATCAAATATCATCAGTGTGAGGGGCTGTGCGGACATCGGCTTTTCCCTATTTTGTTACCGGGTAAATTTCAAGCGGATTTCAAAGAGGTGTAACACAGGGGTGGGCAATTCCAGGCCCCGAGGGCCGGTGTCCTGCAGGTTTTAGACCTCACCTTGGGTCAACACACCTGAATCACATGATTAGTTCGTTACCAGGCCCCTGGAGAACTGCAGGAGCTGTCAAAGGAGCTTGCAAAGAAAAGCGTCTGGACTTCTTTAAGTTACTTGAAGACGTTTCACCTCTCATCCAAGAAGCTTCTTCAGTTCTAAGGTCAAATGGTGGAGAGTCCCAGATATAAACCTAGTGGGAGTAATCCCCACAGAGGGACAAAAGGACCCCTGATGATCCTCTAATCACCTGAGCCAAGGTGTGAAACTGGGTGTGGGTCACAATCAGCCAGTTTCGGGTGAGTTCATGTGAAACCTGGCCCCACTTTGTCATGCGAATTCCTGAGATCAGATGGCCCAGGATGTGAGTGGGCGTTAAGGTGTCTGGGAAGGGATCTCAAAACTGGATTATAGATGGCAGAGAGTTGGTGTCGTAAGCCCCGCCTCTGTTCAAAGATGGTCGCTCACAGTGGACATAGATGGCTTCTTTCACTCCTCTTTCAAACCATCTGTCCTCTCTGTCCAAAATGTGAACATTGGCATCCTCGAAAGAGTGTCCTTTATCCTTTAGATGCAGATGGACTGCTGAGTCTTGTCCTGTGGAGGTGGCTCTTCTGTGTTGTGCCATGCGCTTGTGAAGTGGCTGTTTGGTCTCTCCAATGTAGAGGTCTGGGCATTCCTCGCTGCACTGTACAGCATACACCACATTGTTAAGTCTGTGTTTTGGCGTTTTATCTTTCGGGTGAACCAGTTTTTGTCTGAGCGTGTTGCTGGGTCTGAAATGCATTTGCATAATGACTGAAACCAGCCCACTGAAGGAATAATGGGCATTAATATTCAAATTCTCATGACCATTGAGCAAAGACCACTGATCAATGGCCATGAGTACCATTTGTAGAAAGTTGGTGATTGGCTGCAATCACAGTAAGATGGCAAAAATGTACCCTTAGTCCTCAATTCAGAGATGGTCTTTCACTGAGATAGTCAGCCTGTTAGTTTCCTGCTGCCTCCATCACTCACACTGATTCACTCTCATTCACACTACATGACCTTTGACCTGTATCTACAGCACTGACCTCTGACTTTCAGCTCCACTTGTTTCTTCAGCAGGATGTTTCCCTCCCTGCTGTAGACGGTGCAGGTGTAGGTCCTGTTGTCTCCATCTGTGGGGTGTTTCAGGGTCAGACTGATGTCTCCAGTTTTAAGCAGGTCTTCATTCATCTTCGTTCGGTTTTTGTAAGCCTGGTGTTGTTCTTCAGTCTGCTCAGAGCCGTTCTGATGAACATAGATCATCCTGCTGCCTTTGTCCTTCCACTCCACTTTATCCTCTTCAGACAGGTTAACTCTGGTTTTGAAGGGCAGCTGGACAGACTCCACCCCTGATTCCACCACCACCTGGTGGACTGAGAGGACAACAAAGCACAACATGAGCTCGGATGGAGACATTTGTGTTGACTCTAACAGGCTCAATGCAGAGCACAAACTATTTGAACTGATCCAACTTTATAAACACAGACAAAGATTTGTGTCTCAGCTGCTGTTTGCTGCTATAGATATAATCCAACTGATGTGAGAGAACTACATGTGACACTTTGATGCAGCCATGAATCTGACTGATTTCTTTTCATTTTCAAAGGTTGATGCATCAGTTAAAGTCCTTAAAAAGCTCAGAAATAAAGAGAAAGGTTGGTTACAGCAAAAAGAGGCACTGACAGCCTTTAAGACACAATTTTAATAGCCTTATATTCATATAGTGTATTATTGTATACACAATAATACACAGTAAGACAGGCATAGAGAACAGCACTGACTGGGAGGGGCTGTGAACAGATGACATACTTCAGTTCAACATATAAGACTTTAAGAATTCACAAGCATCTATCTAAAATCTATTTATTTAATCGATCATCTGTGATATTATTATGCGCAATTATAATGTAATGTTCATCTCCCTTAAA